TTTCCAAACGAAGACTTTCATCTTTGACTGTGCACAGCCCATACATGTTGATAAATGTGTTTGCGTTGCAGCGAAGTAAAATTTTCTATGTAATATTCTTGTGTTCTATTTGCTCTGTATGCAGTGGAGTACGGTATACTAGACCGGTACTCCCTAGGATATGAACTCGTTACTATACGTAAGTGTAATTCTGTAGGAACACTAGCGATGGATATAAGTGGTGAATTGTAAGCACTTTAGTCAAGGCTAAACATCTGCCTAAAGTTACGCGAGTACGTCTCCTAGCTATAGGTAAATCTGTAGGGACCAGTGACAAAAATACCTAACTTCAGTATTTGAAAAATAAGAATAGAACTTAGGCATTGCAGGTGAGTTCGATTTCGTATAAGGTTAAGTGTATTCTAAAGTAGTGCATTACTATTACTTCACTTAAAGCGTGATGTTAACGTATAGTGTAACATGAAGTCTACACGAGACGAATAATTGAATAGGTTGGGCTGTTGCCATCGTAGTAAGATTTCGCTTACGTTGAATTATGCCAACAATTACTTTCTCAGGTCTCATTGATAAGTCAGGCCTCCATCTCGTCATGATGAGATATTTAGTTGCACTCAGATAGAATAGGAAAAGTATGGTAAGCAGGATGTTAAATATATTTGAAAAATAATAAGCACAATTGTGTTTTTGTAATTATTTCGGCGATGTCGAATTGCTGTGACCAGGTTGACTGACATTACCGGATATCTGCAAACAAGTGAATAGTGTATTTTTTTTAAATCGCTGAAGTTAGAAAAAAGTTAAACGCTTTATATTTGCCTACCTTTGCTGAAAAAGGTTCATTCTCCTTTCTCATTCTTTGGTCATGACAGCATTCTTCTGTGGTTTTCACTGTCGCACACATTGTTCATCTTCTAAAGTATAGCAGCAAGCGAATAATACTAATTTAATATGTCGTATAAACGGGTGTCTACAACCAATGCATGTCATTTCTACAGGCACAATAAGTTATGTTATAAATTGTAATCGTGAAGTATCATAAATTAATACTTTACAAAAGTTTAAACCGTTCGATTATTGTACAAGCAATTAGAACAGGTTATCATAAATGTTAAATTGTAAACTCTTCACAATGAACACCGTATATTTGAGCAAGTGCTATGCTCTCACGTGATTAAAAGCTATCTCAGGAGGAGAACAACGACCTGAGAAACTTCAAAATGGTATAAAGTACAATTATGGTTAATGCATCATTGAAAGTCCACCTACAAGATATATACGACAAGTGGCTATAGAGTCCTTGGAATGGTAGTATGCTAACCATATCGGTGTACGCGTGGGAACTATGACGTTTGCGATGAAAATACAGCTTTGTTCAAACGTTGGTGTTGTTGTGTTTCTAATCAAAGCAAGCAACTAATAGACACAAAGGGTAAGTCTCAGCTTTAATAAAGGCCTATCCAGTTGAGATAAAATGGAGTGTAATAGTGCGTAAATAAAAAGACTATCATGAAGTAGATAAGTGGTATTTCAGTGACAGGTAAATTGAAAGATTTGCAAGTTTAGAATTCGTAAGACAACCTGACATGTAAGATCTCTCACGAATTTCTATGGGGTAGCATTGATGTTTCGGCGTCATTCTGAACTTTGGAAAGACGATTTACAAATGTAAAAGGTAATAACCACCGAAACTGCGGTAATATTTTCTAGCTGTTCGGAATTTTTTTCCTTTGATGCAGTTTCTTATCAACAGTTTGTAGTATTCATATTGAGTTTATAGGAAACTTTATTCTATCTTCATTTTCACCAACTGTCCCTCCACGCACAATAGTGTGCAGTAACTACACACACTCAAGCATTGTAACCTGAACATCACAAAATCCCTACAGATAACTTGTTTAATAATAAATGCTTTGAAAATATGAGTCATAAGTGCATCTTCCATATCCTTCATAGCTACAAGTAATTCATTAAGGATCTCAGTGATCTGAAAATGAATAATTATTAAGACTGATAAACTTAAGGAACAGGTGTAGTAGTTGTAGGACACAGCTGCTAGCTACTATTCGACAGAAAGCTGATACTAATTCTAAGCAGTCTGACATTTTAGAAGGACCATCTACACTATTCTTCTTGCACAAATGCACACTGATATCAACATAATCTGATGCCATGTTATGCACTGAGCAATTACGGTCTCCCGAAATTCTATGTGACAATGTAAATTATGATAGTATCACATCTTCGCCTGAGCGATTTTAACAAGGAACTTCATCAAAATGAATATAATCACCAGGAAATTCAGCAGCTTATCTCATTTATCGCATGGTCTCTTTGATGTGTTATGGAATGTTTCAATCATCAAGGATGATAATAAGTGTTTGACATCCTCAAAATATACATCTATCTTATGTCTGTGGGCTATTTCACTTTCAAATGCCCGATTCTCATAGAATAACTGCTGTGACAACAACCATTGCCTGTAGTCAATTTACAACCTTTAGATCTAAAACAACTCGCAAATAAAAATAGCTTTGAAACGCAAATAATTGTCTTTCTGCGCGAAATTTATTATATAGGATGACTTGTTTTGGTAACAATTCGTCTGGGATATCTAGCCAATTTTACCCATTAAAATGCAAACAATACAGGAAAGTATTGCTTTTTTCGGCTAGAGAAAGCTAAAACTAGTCAAATATAATCTATTTTCACAATATTGAGCGATTATAACGTCTCTGTAGCCGTGAACGCGATAACCCATTCAGTGCGCGAAAACATATCATGATAACGTATGCCTTCCCCACAGTACCTACCCACGGGAAATCGAAATTCCAATTGACCGCCACTGTTCTAGCCAGTGAAAGACGAGAAATCCAGGAGGGAGTTAAATTTAAAACGCGGTAGGGTTTACTCTCACCCAACTACCATAAATGAGAAGGTTGGAAGACTTGAGAATAGGCTCCCGGACAGACAATATCTTTAGCCGGTTTGAATTGCATGATGTGTCACACAGTGACATTCCTCCATCCAACATCAGTACTCATCCTTTGGTTGGAAGATCTGATGCAACGACATCATTTTAATTTAGGCTTACAACATGACCACCAACTTACTACAACTGCTTGCCACTCTGAATTAGTATCGACCTCCTGCACAAGTAGTCTGGCTGGTGCAGCAATGCATATTTACTGCCGGAGAGTCGTTTTTATCGTACAGATAATTCACACCCTCAGCAAGAACCTTTTATTTCATTTTCCTGTGACAGTCAATCTTCCTTCGGGTCCGATTTAAGTAACATGTAGATGTTATTGACTCTCTCTACAGTTCTTATTTTCCCGGCACTTCCATAGACATGGAAACTACATTACTGTCTCAAAACAATGTAATTGCATCTCATTTTAAGCTGCTTCAAAACACTACAAAACTCTAGCAACATGATTCAGCTAATCTTGGAGTACTTTTTAATAACACTAGGTCCTCTGAAAACTGACATACATACAATCACCACTATTGTTAATCCAACCTGCAGAGTTGGTGACTATTGAAGATTAGTGAATATATGAACTAAGTGATGACTTCTTTCACTGCAAAGGTAATTCATTATTCAGAAGGAACAGACTAGTTGGGCATGATGGGGGATACATTATCTACGTAAAATCCAACTGTAAGACTGTACATTACGAAAACACAAACCTGAATATGTATGATACATCAACGGTGGCACTAAACGTCTTTTGTAGGTTGTGCCTATCTCCAACCCAACCAAATCAGTGAACTTCCGCATGTAGTAATCACAGTTTTTCACTACACTTCACAATTAAAGTTCACTTACGAAATTATTGGAAGTGATTTTGGGAATCGATACAGTAGGTTCTCGGATGAAACACAGTAATGTGGTTGGATACAAACTATAGAGTGCACACAAGATAATGTTTTGGACCTAATATTTCCGAAAGACACCTCCCTGACTAGTGCGCATATCAGTTACCCATCCCAGACACCGAACGCAGTACCATTTAAGGAGATAAAGGGATTTCGATGTTTGCTTAAAGTTTTTGTCCCCCGATTCTTATAGTATTTTTTCTGCGTAGACCAAAGACAAATCAAAACATCATATTGACTATCCAAAATACGAAGCCTATCTCGGGACCAGAAACCATTACAGTAATGTAATACATGGAGTGACATTCGTTTGTGCATGTGATCAGTGACGTCAGCTTACCTTTTGTGAGTATATTTTTATTATTACCAAAAGCGGAAACTCACAAGATATTCTGGTACAGTTTGCGTAGCCATTACTAATAGAGTGACCTCTCACTAACACTCCCATACCCAGACAGATTCCTTATGTATTTCTCCAATTGCATTGGTGTTCTAATGCCCAGATGAGTTTTGCTGAGCAAGAGGTCGATGGCTTTTGGATCCAACTGACTTTAATAACTTTTTTGTCAATATAACAGCAGAACACGGTAATATTTGGCAGCGGAATAGTTTATTGACAGATAGATGTACAGATATGGCAAAATAGATATGCTTTACACTAAAACCACCATTTGCTTGTGTTCTCCATGTTAGGCTTCTTTTGCCTTCCTTCCCTGTTTCTACGTTGTTTCACAAGGACATTTAATCTATCCCTCCGCTACTGAGTATTCCTACAAAAGACAAAATACATACCACTTACAAAATCTTGTCAGTAGCACCAGCCACAATATCACACCACTGAGGTGGGAATTAAAAGATACTACTGATATACTGCTTCACTAAGCTCCATTCCTCCTATTTATGCATTAAAATTCCTCCACTATCTAGATTTTATTCAAAACCAATAATTTATGGGCAACTCCTGTGGTGATTGACAGTTTCTATTACTGTATTGTTAAGATACTTACTGTTGTTTGTTAATATTTATTATATGAATTACAAATAATTCCGCCAAATACAAATTCCCGAATTCACGCTTCTCTGTGTTGTTGGTTTCCTGTAATTCGGTCATTGCGAAATACTACTATTACAAATAATTATAACAACTTCTTCACATGATCAACTGCTTTAGTTGTTGAATATAGATCAGAACCAAAAATAGACATCAATTATTGCCACGTTGTTTACTATTCACATAGGACCTGTTTAACAAAATGCTTAAAAACAAGCAATTAAATCACTATAAGACAAAGTCTACCACATACTTATTTAATAAAACACCTTGTTTTTCATAATTCACCTATTCGAAGTCATATCACTTTAATGATTCTTTTAATAATACAACAAGATTGGTCGTACAACCTTGACCAAGTGATGCGGCTCTCCACATGTACTCGCTTGTAAAAGCTGTTTGTCTCTGTTTAGGCAATAAATCAACTTATACTGCGAATTGTCAGTTCATGAGTGACTAACTTGAGGTTGTCCACATGTAGGAGAGCTCTATCAATGTTGAATACATCACAAACATTACTAACATAGTCTACAAATACAGGAAGACGAAGAACGCTACTCCGTATAGCCTCATTTGTGACCTGTCAATGAATAGATGACACAGTCTTAAGTATTTGTATGCAATCCCTCAGGTAAGGAGGCAATTGGGAACATATCGAGTATAAATTCTGAAAGAGTACACGGTGATATTATATTAAATACGTTTTGCATTTCGAGGTATATAACACTGACTAATATGATTGCCTTGAGATTACTGGTGTTGTGCTTGAAGCAGTTGTGACAGATGACGTGGGCCCATTCTAGAGAAAAATCAATATTGTGACTTTGTAACGGGCCCTTCCATAACTGCGGACACTAGGTGCATTACTTAATTTATAGCGTAAGATCAAGAAGCTATTTCTCTAATCAATAGCTTATGTACCAGAATTAACCGATAGAGAGAATAACTCAAAGAGGAATATTATGTCTGTAGTTTCTGAAAGTCATCGAAGTGAGTTCATGTGGCTGCTTACCCTTATACAGTCTAGGGCTTTTAACTGCTGCACTGCTATTCACCCGGTCTTTTCGGCGTGGCAGTTTTGCACACCTTACCTATATTCAATGTCATGTTCATTACTTATCTTTAACATACATATCGACATGTTCTAACTTAATAGTTTATGCATTCTGCCTCAGACTACTACAACTGATTGACACCGACATGAAACACGATAATTCAAGCAGAATATGTTGTACACAAATAGTTGTAATTGTTGGTGTTAACGAATATTAAGATAAAATAAAGAAAATTTCAGCAGCAATATCTGTTTTTCATCAGTATTCGTAGAAGCGGTCAAATGTAGTCAAGTGAAGTGGATAACAGAAGGATCTACAAAGAAATCCTTCTGCACAGCATAGTTCTTTGTCAGTGGAGTATGCGAGCCCAATGATCAGTAGTTATTGCTACTGGTCAGGGACTTCAATCCTTTTAACAAAATCACCTACTGTGAACATAGACTAGGTCAGAAAGTTATAACATAGCATAAAGATCAAACAGTAAAATTAAGGCCAATGCGACATTTGTTCCCCAATATTGATATGACTACACAAAAATGAGTACTCCGTATTTATTTATTCTACCGCTTTTTAATTTTAATTTACTAGCATATTTCAGTGTTTTCACTCTGTCCGTCACTTAGAGTTGTATTTTGTTACCTGCAATAACCCTTAGTTCGCTCTATGTTCCAAGCAAGTTTGTATGTTGTACTGGGGTACAAGAAACAAAAGACTTGTTGAAGATAATAGGATGAATTAAGAATTTAACAACAAAATTACAGGAAAAAATGAAGCTATTTCATATGAACACAATCATAGCTACAAATGCATTGGATAAATTATAAACTATACAGAATTTGATACAGGAACATATCCTGAGAATGTGAGTCAAGAGATACCTATTTATATTTTTTCAGCGTGAAGAGTACAAAATGGCTCTTAAAACTATAAAATTGAAGTAAGTAATTCAGAAAAATGAATGCAAAGTGAAACATTTTAAAGCTGCATCTTAGGTAGATGGATCTTTTGTACATGACTTCGTATAAATGGTCGCCAACCTCTAGTCATTTGATTATTGAGGCTAAGATAGCATTTGCACTCATACCAATCAAGAAAAGAATTGGCTTCATTAGCGCCAACAAGATTAGCACCATGAACAGCCATTACACATCCAGTCAGCTATTGTAAGAGAAAAGCGATTAAAAAACAATATATGTACTAAAACATATATCAACCTGTCATTGAATAATCCGGAATAGTGAAGGCATTGAAGATATGTATACGAAAAAATAAATGGAAATAATTTGAAAAGATGAATATTTGGAAGAATTACTCACCCACTGACTACGAGGGGGACTGGAATTATATAGTTAAAGGCGATCGACAAGAAATTCAGTCATTATTCGACGCAGTCAGTAATGTTGCAAAAAGTCACTCGGACCACACCTATTGTATGAAGATTGTTAATACAACATGGATGCTTATACTAACAAAGCACTTTTCCATTCCCACTTGGAATGGGGTCTGTCTATCAAGTCCTCCCTTAGTTTTTTTTAGGATGATGTGCTCCATAACAAATCGAATCAAATACAAATGTTATGCAGTAACCCTTCATTTGAGCATAAATCTCTTGTATGTCCTAGTAATGAGCAAAATCCTATTTAGAACAGAAAGTTATGATAAGTTAGTGAGGATAAGTAAAGTAGTGAGTAACAAATTTTATCCTCACTAAAACGTGTATCATACGGTTTACCATCACTGTTACATACTGCCAAAAAGACATTCGTATGATCAAACGGTTTGCGAAAATAACGTTTTATGATAGATTAAAAATCTCTCAACTTTCACCATTCACAGCAGATACTGATACCCTAACCAATCAATTAAAATAATTGTATCTAATTACAACAAAGACTGATTTTTTATTAAAAAGAACAAAAGCTAACTTACTTCAAATGAGTAGGTATAATTATGCAATGTATAATACAGTAGCACTCTTAAAACACTCATATTCTCTGCAGAACGATGTCCCAAACCAAATATCAAAGAACGAACAAACCGACAGGAACAATAGTAGGCAGATGTTAAGATGATTTCTCCAATTAACCTTGGTATGAAGCCCTAATTTTTAAGAAAACAAATACATAAGATATCCGTTGCTCGGTCACAATTAAGCAGCACGAATCACTTTTCATTATGAGGTAACTGAATTGTTTATTTTATTCTAAAAGTTTGAACTGGAATAGTTTACAAACAAAAACATTACTGGGAACAGTTCAAATAGTTTCAAAAATTTACTTCCATTACAGTGACAGAAGCCTGTACCAAACAGAGTTGCTAATAATGTACATTGGAACTTCAGGCATTTTTAGATAGAATCAGTCAGATGACGTAAAATTATTGCAGAACACTTTAATAGTGTACAAACAATGACCATAGATTTTGTTTTACGCACTTCAACATCAAGTACTCCAGTTTAGATAAGGGGGCTAAATTGGTTCGCTGTACCTTCCTAGATTACAAATCTGCTTTCGATGTAGTAGCTAGGGATATTTTGTTAAACAAGCTTGCTGGAACTCAGACTGACTGTTGGGTTGTCAAACGGCTGGATTCTTATTTCTCAGGAAGAATGCAGTACACTGTATGTCAGGAGAAGTCGTCCACTTCGTTGCTTACTGAGACTGGTGTCCCTCAAGGTGCTGTCCTTTCTCCTTTCCTGTTTTCTTTCTTCTTGCATGACTTGCCTCACTCTGATGAAATGAGCTTTGTTAAGTATGTGGACAATCTAACTATTTCAATGTCTGTTAACTCCCAGATAGACTGTACTAAGATGAACAGCTTTCTATCAGGAATCAGCAAATGGTCTACGTCTAATAGGCTTAAACTAAATCCTTCCAAACGACAGACTTAATTTCAGTTTCCGAGGTAAAAGAAAGTTAAATGAAGCTGTTGGTTCCTATGACCGTTGCAAAATTGATGACAGTGATATAGAAATCAAGTTTGACGTTAAGTATTTGGGATTAACTCTTTCTTCTAACTTACCCTGGTCTTCCCATGTTTTGGTGATTTCTAAAATGATGTTTCGTCTGACTTTTTACATTAAGAAGTTAGGGCACTTAAGCATAACTCAACCCCTCCTCTTACGGTTTATCAACTCGCATATCTTACCTATTCTTTTGTACTATTCACCCTTATTCTTTCCTGCGTTGCTAAAAAAGGCCATGTCATACTTCGTAAAACTCTGAAACCTGTCAGTAGGGCGAGTGGCATCCCATTGGACCATATCGTTGATATTATCATTAATAGACACCTGATTTCATACAAAAAATTTGCTAAAGGAATTTTATCAGACTGTGAGCAGCCACTTCACCCACAGCTTTCACCTTGTGTCTTCTCAGGTAAAACAAAAAGTCATTTGAAGAGACGTCGAAGTATAAAATTCCACTTTACCATATTTGGCACGTATATTATGTGGTGAAAGTAGTGTCAGGGATGAACTAACTAACCTTCTTTGCACTACTAAATAAACAATTTTCTCCATCCTTATTCCATCGAGCTTTATTGTTATTGTTCTTATATTTATAATCTCATTTTTTTGTTTATTGTCTCATAAGTGTAAACCTCATCTAAGCTGTGTAATAACTGTTATTTTTTGTCTTTCCCCTCAATATGCTACATCAACAGAACATTAGATTCAGTAATTTATAACATGCTAAAATTTCTAGACTGAATCGACAATACTGTTTGAAATAAACCTATTATAGTTGCCGTTATTATTGGACTTATTAATTTCTTTTTTTACTCCGAATTATTATTATTATAATATCCTTTAATTCCTAGAGGAACATAGGGCTTCAGCCGCGCGTCTCCATTACGTTCGATTCTCTGCTAAAGTTTTCACTTGGCTCAAGGTCTGCCCACATGCTTTCACCTCCTCTTCACATGACCTCCTCCAAGTCACCCTTACATTGACGACCAACTCGCTGCTTCTCTTTCGGGTTCCACTCGAGGGCTTGTCTAGTGATGTCATTTGATGGTTTCCTCGGAGTATGGCCAATCCAACTCCATTCCTCCCTGCTTATTTCTTGTACAATCTGTTCCTGGTTGGTTCGCTCATTGCCAGAGATCCCTGTTGCTGATCTTGATTATTGAGCGAAGATCAATACATCTCGTGAGCGATTTGATCAATACATGACTTGTTCCCCCTGAAACCAGCTTGTTCCGGTCGGAGTTTTTCATCCAGGGCTTGTTTGATTCTCTCCAGGATGATGCGGCTTAGTATTTTGCTTGGGATAGACAGAAGCATAATTCTGCGACAGTTTTTGGATTGACTTAAGTCTCCTTTCTTTGGTAGTTTGAATAAGTAACCTTTCCTCCAATCTTCGGGTACGTCGCCCTCATTCCATACCTTCTCCAGTAATGGTGTCATCAAGTCCGCTGTTGTTTCTGGGTCCATTTTCAACGCTTCTGTTGAGATTCCATCTGGTCCTGATGCTTTTCCAGCTTTTAGCATCTTGATTGCCTTCAGGACTTTTGATTTCGTCGGGGGGTCGATGTTCACTGGTAGTTCTGCTTCCGTTGTTGGTATTGTTGGGCGCGTTGTAGGTGGCGGTCGATTTAGAAGTCTTTCGAAGTGTACAGCCATGTTTTCTTTGCTCCACTTCTTTGGTGATTGACTTCCCTTTGTCATCCCCAGTGGCTTAATTTGTGTCAAACTTTTGCCCGATAGGTACCTAGTTATTTGGTACAGTGTTGAGAGGTCTCCTTTGCCTGCAGCTTGTTCTGCTTCACTTGCCATGGCTTCAAAATATTTTTTGGCTTTATATCGTAAATGTGGACAAATTCCTCTGGTTAATATCTTATCTATATTTTGAGTAAATCAGATGCACAACTGTGACAAATGCTGAGAATTCCACTCTGTATTATAAGTATTGCTTTTGGAATAAAGTACATTATTATTATTGCTTAGAAACTGAATTTCAATGAATCCAATTCAGCTGCTGAAGAGCAATATTTGTTTATGAAATTAAACGGAAAAAGGACAACGAATTGAGCAGGATAACATGATATCATTTTATTTCCCTAGATCTTGTTAAACACATACAACCTAAAACAATTCTAATATCAATATACAAAATATTCACACACATTAGTTACAAAACATAAAGGTGAAGGCCATTATTTTTACGTAGTTAAACGACATTGTAGGACAATCACATATTCAAACATAACAAACAAGTACCTACTGATCAGATGAAAGGCTACCTTGTCAAACTACCGAAGAAGGGTGACTAAGGTCTCTACAAGAACTGGGGCGGAAACATGCTTCTGTCCATGGCAAGTAAAATATTAATTTGCGTCATCATGGAGAGACTGAGGGATGCTTGGGATACCAAAACCCCATCTCATTAAAGTCATTTCTAACAGGCTTCCGAAGATTTCCATTAACATCTGCCTTTGCTACAATCTGAAGATCAGATGGGCTCAAACGATAACCAAGAGGGAACTCTGGGAACGAACCGAGAACTTATTGACCAATAATAATAATGGAGAAAATGGAGACGGATCGGACACATTGAGGAGACCGTCGAATGATATCTTGTGCCAGGTCATAGAGTGTAACCCAAATGGGAAACAAAGAGCTGGATGTCCGAGAGTGATGTGGCGATCGTGTGAGGAGGAGATGAAAGCCTATGGGCAATCGTGGGACCAGCTAAGGAGGACTTCAGAGAACAGGATGAAATGGAGATGTGCTGTAGAAGCCACTCAAAACCCAAAGGAACAATAACAAATAGTTGACATGGTGGAAAGGATAGATGTTATTAAGCTCATTAGTATATACAAAAGTAATCACAAAAATATTCTAGGGTGAGGAGCAGAGGTTGTAAACTGTACCATTCGTGCCCACGACTAACCTTCAGTAGGACTGCATTGGATAATTTGGTTGGACATTAGTTAGTAACTAGTATTAGACGTCTAATCCTTTGTTTGTGCTTCTATGTGACAATGTAAATTATGATAGTATCACATCTTCTCCTGAGCGATTTTAACAAGGAACTTCATCAAAATGAATATAATCACCAGGAAATTCAGCAGCTTATCTCATTTATCGCATGGTCTCTTTGATGTGTTATGGAATGTTTCAATCATCAAGGATGATAATAAGTGTTTAACATCCTCAAAACGTACATCTGTCTTATATATCTTGAGCGCAGAACCAGGTTGGTCATTGTTCAATCTCATATTTACGTAACAACCATGATTTCAGGTGAATTGGTTATTTTTACTACTTTAAGGTGAACCTATATTTTGGCATTTCTGGCTACCACACGGATCGTTTTCTTAGAAGTCTGGAGGGACTATCAGAAATGTTGCATTCACTGCTACTGACGGTAAGAAATACAATTCTGTTAATAAAATAACTGTAATGTTACAAAGAACTATGTGAATACAGGGAAATAGGCTTAACGCCTTTGTGATAAGTTCCTGTAATGTACTCGTCGCCAAATTATTGTTATGTACTGGTCGAGAATTTAATAGTCCTGACGCAAGAAGGCGGAAATCAGAAGACCACTAGGTTTGCGATGATACTTCTATTTTCCAAACACAAGGAGAAGCAATAAGTGGTATCACACCAAAAATAAGTAGTCACACAAGATTGTGTGAGCAAAATATATATGAATGTCCAGACAAGTGTGTGAACAAATCAATGGACAGTCTTAACATGAATGGCTAATTATAATGAAGTATCGATCCATATATACATAGCAAAATATAGCAGACATGTCAACAACCACACATATAGTATGGATATCTGTCACCAAGCAACGGACTGTCAACAAACACTCATATTATATATAATATAAGGGGAATATACATTGATAAAGGAGACAGGTTCATCAAAGTGAAATGGTCACAGACTAAGCGAGCAAACAGAAAGAGAGATCACCATACACACACACATATATATATATATATGGATGCATACCACCTCCCCTTTTGAGAAGATT